GTGCTCAAATCAAAAGCCAAAATCATATTTGAGAAGAAGCGACGATGCAGAAATCCAGGCCAATGCAAAACACCTCTCACAAAAGCTGCCTCCCTAACTCCACCACAACTATGCTTGGGACAAACTTCACTAAGCCACGTCCAAGAATTCCGGTTTAAGGAAAACAACCAAACTTCAGTCAAATCTTCGTTGTAACCCCGAGCCACAACTAGAAGTACCTTGTAGTCATCAGATGCCGAATCAAACCCAAAACCTAGGAAGGTTTCATCAGGTAGAATGTAGGTGAAATCAATCTTGGGCAAAGTGAAATGCTTATGAATGGAAGGATTCCATAAAATGAATTTGCAAGAATTACTCCAAATATCTGCGAGACAAATCAGCCCATTACATGTACCAACAATTCTAAAAACCCCAAATCCACCACACTCGAATGGTACATGGAACTGCTTGTACTCCTCAAAGGCATCATTATCGCGACGCAATTGATAAAATTCTTTGTCATCTCTGGTGAATCGGAGAAGGAGAAGATCGTCACGAAGAGACGCAGCCTGCTGCAGATGATTGGAAATGAAAGAGGGATGCTTGATGAGAGCGTACCAGGTCTTGCAAACAGCGGTGCATTTCACCGCCGATTTCACAGGGAGTCTCTGGAGGATGAGCGTGATGATTTCAGGAGGTAAATAGTTATCTTTTTCCCCTTTGTCAAGTAATACCAGGCTCTCCAAGTAGCTACCGACAAACACATCATAAAGACTGTTCATTTTTCCAATTAGACGCTTCGGCTGCTGCTTATGTTCCTGTTGGTGGCAGCTCAAACTCAGTGTAGCTAGCTCCTTCTCCTCCTCCTTCCCATACACTGTCAATAAAACTTCCCCGTTCTTCCTAACCCCGAACACATCATTCAAGCTTGCATAAAAAACCAGCTTTCCATTTTCGTCAATTGAATGTAACACCATAGTCCAAGAACTGTCTACACCATATTCCTTCATGACCCACAATTCAAGTTGCTCGTCATTAATGTCTTCAAAGCTTCCACTTGTAACCACTGCAATGGATTCTTCATATTTGATCAAGGACATTTGAGGTGCAAACTGAACTAAAGTTTTGGGATAATTCATCACGTGAAACTTTTCGGTGCTCAAATCAAAAGCCAAAATCATATTTGAGAAGAAGCGACGATGCAGAAATCCAGGCCAATGCAAAAC